CACGGGAAATCGGGTGGAGAGGAGGAGTGTGCTGTCACAGTACAGGGAGAGCAGCAACGAGGGTCACATAACGATGTATGTATAAATTTTTGAATGAGAGACTAACTTGAATTGTAAACTTTCACTTAAAGCACAATTTTAAAAAAAACAATTACATGATGTTCTGTGCAGGCACTGGAGTCAGAGAAATGGATTTGAATCCTTGCCCTGCCTCTTGCTAACTTTTTGTGAGAGTGGGTTAGTGGCGGGGGGGACATCAAGCCTTACTTACGTTTTCTAATTTTCATTTGTAAAATGAGGATAATAATACCTCATAGTGTCAATTAGATGCAATAATGCCTCTGAATTAGGCAAGCTGCTTTTTCTGGTGTGACCTAAATCTTCTGTGCAATATACAGTAGAAGCAAAAATGTAAAAGTAGTTATAAAAATGATGAGCAAATTACGTTGCACAGGATAATCGGTTTTGTTGGCTATTGACTGTGTAAACGTAATTTTAAGTGAAGATTATTTTAAATTATTTTCTTTTTTTGTAATATAAGAAAATATGAAGAAGTAACAGGAGCTTGTTGGAAATATATTTGCTTGTTTTTAAGATGCTTTACTCATTTAGTTGAATTAATGGTGCAGTATTAAATGAGGAAAATAATTCCATAGATTCATACCCTAGAAAGTAGAAAGATGAATACTTCTAGTTTGGATAAGCGTGAAGGTTAATATTTTACTATATTGTTAACAAGGGTATAACTAAGTAGGAAGTTAAATATATTTTATTTAGTCATTAGAATACTGTGAAGTTTGATATTATATTTGATGTTGTAAATAAAATTCTTTTTCCTTCCAAATGAATTAGTCACCTAAAATCCTGTATTCACCACATTAGAGGTGTTATCCAGAACTGTACTTTGAGGAATCATGGTTTTTTGTGCATATCTTTGCTATTTGATTTGATAAACCTTGCTTCAAGTACTTTAATTAGACTGTTACTCACTGTACTTTCTAATTCACTTGTCAGTGCAGACTGGATTTATTTGTTTACACTAATCCCGAAGGATATAGAAAATGGGAACTTTTAATGGAAAACACTCAATTTCTGAATTACCGCTTTACCCTGAGGAAGATGGGAAGTGACAACTTGGTAGAAAGTTAATTATGAATACTTTCCTTAGTTTTGTGATCTGCTTCAGTCTAAGTAGAGATGCTGTCTTTTTTCAGTGATTGGCGTGGACAAATGGCAAAGAGGTCTACTAAGTACTGTTTCTTTGTTTTCATTTGAATGGTTTTTATGACTGGCGACATTTGTGAGTGTATGTTTCTCATATTTAAGATTGAATTGTATTTCTGTGTGTTTTAATGTTTCCGTAGGTTTCTGTTTCTGTTATTGGGTCCAGCAGGCAAGGCACCACAGTACCATGAAATTGGAAGATCAATAGCCACTCTCATGACTGATGAGGTAATTCAGATGCGCTAAAATTCATAGAAATAGAAACTGATCGTGAAGCATATAAACCCAAACCAAACCCACTGCCGTCGAGTTGATTCCGACTCATAGCAACCCTATACGACAGAGTAGAACTAACTGCCTCGTAGGGTTTCCAAGGCTACAGTCTTTACTGAAGCAGACTGCCACATCTTTCTCCTATGGAGCGGCTGGTGGGTTCAAACTGCCAACTTTTTGGTTAGCAGCCAAGCACTTTAACAGCTGCACCACCAGGGATCCTTATGAAGCATATAACATATATTAAATGATAGTTCTCCTTCCTTTCACAGTAAAGCTTTAAAGATTGTCCTTGTTGTCTCTACTATTTCATTTTAAATTCTTTAACTATATGCCTTTGATAAGGTCTTCAAGACCATTCTGTCAGGACCTGTGGGTAATTTTTCACATTTTAAGCGATCAAAATTATTGACCACCTTATCAAAATTTTCTCCATCATAAGTTGCAGGAAGGTCATTTCTTTTTGTTTTCCTCAGAGCATTATCTGTTTTCCCCATTTTCTCTGTAAATTGCTCTCTACTTGTTCGAGAACCTCATTTTTGACCATGACCTATGTTTTGATCACCCCTAGACTTTTGTCTTTCTTTGGGTTTTTTTCTTTGATTTTTTTTAAATCAGGTGTTTGCTAGATGTGTCTGTCATGCTTCCCTAGGGTGGGTATCTCCCAGCCACATACCTGAACCTGACCTCATTTCTCTATCCTGTCTCATCCAGTCAGTCTCCAGATTCTGTTGACTTTTCCTTTTCAATGTGTTTTGCATCTGATCTGTCATCTTCTTCCTGTCCCCACTGCCACTTCCCTAGCTTAAACTCTTTAAGGAGTTAAAGTGACCTTTATGGGCCTTTCTCTTAAACAGTTTTGTCTTTTGCACTGCCAGTAACAAATCTGAATATATTTGATCCAAGTGTATCCGTGGCTTTCTATTGATATATTTAGGTTTAAATTTAAACTGCTTACAACTTGTCTCAATAGGTTCCGTGTGATCTAACCTCCTCATACACCTGGAAGCTTCCATCCTAACTCTACCCACCCTTCTTCCCCATGTTGCTCCAGCCATATTAGGTTCTTTTTGGTTCCTCGGTTGCGTTAAGCTCATTTCCGCCTTTGGACATTTGCGATTACCAACTCTCCTGCCTGAGTACTCCTCTCCCTCAACTCCTCATCCCCATCCTTGGCACAGGTTTGTCCTTTCATTTCATTCACATCTCTCCTGTAGTATTACCTCCTCTGAGATACCATCCCTGACATCTGCAGCTTCCATTCCTGTAACCTGCTTTGTTTTCATCAGAGTGTTTATCATGATCTGCAGTTACCTATTCAATTACTTCTTTCACTGTTTTGCCCCCTAAAAAAAAAAAAAGATTCTTGAGTACAGGGACCTTGCCTTACTTGTCTTCTTCATTGCACTATCCACAGTACTTACAATTTTGTTTCTAGCAAATAGTAGGTACCCAGCAGATGTTTGTGATCAAATACATTAACTATTTAAGTAAAGCTATTTGCGTGTCCTTGATTATTCCCTAGGGTAAATGACATTAAAATGGCATAGAGGAAGAATGACATGCCACAGTATTACTTCATTCCATAAAGAATTACTGAGTATTTCCCATGCAAAATTATCTCTCTCTTTTTTTAATTGTTCTGACACATCACTGTTTTGTTGTTGCTGTTGTTTGATTGTTATGTTTAATTTATTTGATAATACTAATGATAAAAAAAGGGTTACCTTTTATAGTTGTTACCTGGGGTGGGTTGGAGACCTGCCTTCAATAAGAGTTTAGACAGTTATCTTTATTGTGGACTGTCTTAGGCTGGGTTCTCTAGAGAAGCAAAACCAGTAAAGTGTATAAATATATATATAGAGAGAGATTATAACAAGGAGACAGCTCGCGCGATTGTAGAGGCTAGAACGTCCCAAGTCCATGGATCAGGGTAGAGGCCTCTCCAAGTCACACAGCTGCAGAAGCTGGCAAGCCCAAGATCGGTAGGTCGGAGAGCAGGCTCCCACTCACAGGCTGTGCAGATCGACGAATCCTAGGTTCGGCAGATAAGCTGACAGCTCAAGTCCCAAGAACGGGAGATGAGACGACAGGAAGCAGCCGCAGGATCCAGAGAGAGCAAAAAGCCAGAACGTCTGCTTATATACAGATGCAGGCCACCCCCAAGGAGACTCCCTTTCATCTGATTGGCTACTCACAGTATATTCAATCATGGGACTGATTACATTAAAACACGGAGAATCATGGCCCAGCCAAGTTGACACACAATCTTAACCATCACATGGACTTACTTGTGATTTTTAAAGTAGATTTACCACGTGGAAACTATTCTTTCAGCGTTAAAATCTTCTTGTTTTTTCTTTAGATTTTTCATGATGTAGCTTATAAAGCAAAAGACAGAAATGACCTCTTATCTGGAATTGATGAATTTTTAGATCAAGTAACTGTCCTACCTCCAGGAGAGTGGGATCCTTCCATACGCATAGAGCCACCTAAAAGTGTTCCTTCTCAGGTAAGAATCTCCCTGATTGTTCTGTGTTACCTTTTTTCTTCTTTTAATTAAACCTTTTTTAAAATAGGTTGTACGTTTTTGTGATTCAAATACCAAAATTACATAAAGAGATATATTCAAAGACGCTATACCTCCTCCTTGTCCCCTTTCCCTTCTCACCCCTATACCCACCTCCTATAGGTGACCACTTTTTATTAATCATTTTTTTTGTTGGTCCTTCTAGTTTTTATTCAGTACAAGGAAGTATGAAATATAACCTTATCTTTCTTACCCAAAATTGCGTTTTCCATATATCATGCATCCCAGAAATCTGATCATAAGAAATCATAGAAATATTCCTCAACCTTTTTCTTACAGCTCTGCTGTATTCCGTTGATGAATATACCATAGTTCATGCTGTTCCTGGTTTCAGGTTGTTGTCTTTTGCTATTACAAACCATGCCCAGTATTTATATTCCATTTTAGCCTTGTACAGATGTATCTGTAGGATAGATTTCCAGAATTCCTAGGATTACTGGCTCAGAGGGTGAATTTATAATTTTAGTAGACATTACCAAATTTGTCTCTGTGGAGTTGAACTATTTTAGACTTCCACAGTGATGTATGAGAGTGCCTGTTTCCCTACAGCCTCACTAACACAGTGTGTTGTCCAGCTTTTTGATTTTTGTCAGTCCAATAGGAATCTTAAGTCTTACTGTATCAAGTATTTCCATGTAGTTTTAATTCGCATTTCTGTAATTAGTGAGGCTAAGTATTCCTGAATTTTTCTTTAGTTGTCCCCGCCTCCTTTTTTAAAACTGTTCACTGATGCCTTGAAGTTTCTCCTGGGGTGTTGGTGGGGTAGGTTTTGCCTGGTTGTCCCAGTTAAAAAGTGGAGCTTTACTCTCTTGACTGGCAGTGTTGCCTCTCTCATTGACTGAATTTTCATATGCGTTCAGGTCTGTTTCTGGGATTTCTTTTCTTTTCCATTGGGCTGTCTATTCATGGACCAATTCCATACTCTTGCCTCTCTCTTACTTTTTATTTCCTGGGTTTCTTTGGCTATATTGCAAATTTATTTTTCTATGTAAACTTTAAAATTAGCTTTCTATTTCCTGAAATAAAACCTGCTGATTTTTGTTCTTGTTGGGATGACAATTTCTAAACGAACTGAGGGAGAATTGACATCTTTATGACCTTGAATCTTTCTGTTCAAGAACATGTTATGTCTTTCTATTTCAAGTCCATTTTTGTGTCCTTAAGGAATGTTATAAAGTTTTCCTTATCTACGCTTTACAGCATGTCTTGGTGAGTGGATTCATGAGCACTTTATTGTTTCT